GGTAGGGATAAGGGAGGGAGGAATTGAAGGAGAGGAGGGAGGGATAGAAAGGGAAGGGGTAATGAAGGAGAGAGAGGGAGGGAGGGAGAGTGAGAGGGAAATAGGGCTTTAACAGCAAGAGTTATTCGAGACCAAAGAGTGATGGCACTCTTCACGAGTTTCTGGCTCCAGGGAGTTTCTGGCAGTCTTCCCAGCAGTGGTCTTCGAATTCAGAGCTCAGGAGTGCCTGAGTGTATAGTCTTTACGAGCACCGTCCTCGTGAGTGCATAGTCTTTACAAGCACCGTCCTCGTGAGTGCATAGTCTTTACAAGCACCGTCCTCGTGAGTGCATAGTCTTTACGAGCACCGTCCTCGTGAGTGCATAGTCTTTACGAGCACCGTCCTCGTGAGTGCATAGTCTTTACGAGCACCGTCCTCGTGAGTGCATAGTCTTTACAAGCACCGTCCTCGTGAGTGCATAGTCTTTACGAGCACCGTCCTCGTGAGTGCATAGTCTTTACAAGCACCGTCCTCGTGAGTGCATAGTCTTTACGAGCACCGTCCTCGTGAGTGCATTCTTTGTGAGTGTACACAGTCATAGACTTCATGGTGCACTCTTTGTGAGGGCGCAGTTATCAAGAGTACAGTTCTCATGAGAGCACTCTTGGTGAGTGCACAGTTCTCCTGAGTGTATTCCTTGTGAGTGCATAGTCCTTATGAGTAGAGTGCTCACAAATAGTCCTCAACCTCTTAACAAGAAGAGTCGTCACACCACAAGGTGATGCGCTCATCCCTCAGAAAAAAGTAGCCTTCCCTTAGTACTGTACTAAACTGATACTACTACTACTTCTACTTCTACTATTTCTATTACTACTACTACTACTACTACTTCTACTGAGACAATCTTTGTTTACATGAGTCCGGCCTTAAAATGTTGAACTCTTGCATGAATAGTCAAGTTGACCTGCAAATTATAGTCTTTATGTATCAGGGAGCTGCGGCCTGCAGGGGTGGGGGGGGGCTGACGGCTGAGTGGACCGCGCTCGGGATTCGTAGTCCTGAGGTTCAGAGTTCGATCCCCGGTGGAGGCGGAAACAAATGGGCAGACTTTCTTTCACCCTGAAGCCCCCCTTGTTCACCTAGCAGTAAATAGGTACCAGCGAGTTAGACAGCTGCTACGGGCTGCTTCCTGAGGGTGTGTAACTAAAAGGAGGCCTGGTCGAGGACCGGGCCGCGGGGACGCTAAGCCCCGAAATCATCTCAAGATAATCTCTGTTAAACAACAGTGTGTCAGAAGGGGACAAATTTATCAAATTTTGGTTTTGCGAACGTTTCATTGGCATGCGATTTGTTGTTGTTCTTGTTGTTGTTGTTATAGATTCAGGTACTCGGGAGGGGAGCCGGTCGGCCGAGCGGACAGCACGCTGGACTTGTGATCCTGTGGTCCTGGGTTCGATCCCAGGCGCCGGCGAGAAACATTGGGCAGAGTTTCTTTCACCCTATGCCCCTGTTACCTAGCAGTACAATAGGTACCTGGGTGTTAGTCAGCTGTCACGGGCTGCTTCCTGGGGGTGGAGGCCTGGTCGAGGACCGGGCCGCGGGGACACTAAAGCCCCGAAATCATCTCAAGATAACCTCAAGCTACTCGGAGCAAAAGTTGCAAGTAGCACGGGCTATGGTGAGCCCGTAGGCACGTCATTATATGCTCTCATTCTTTAATCTCTTTTTCTGATGTAAGATGGACCTTATCATTTTCTGTTTAATTGTGATAATTAATATAATAATTGGGTGTCTATTATTTTATAATATTCGTGTTTCTTTACATTGTGTGACGTGAATAATTCATAATTGATTTATTTTGGGTCTTGTATAGAATCTTTGAATCTATACTTTAATAGGTATATAATACTTTTACTTTTATATTAATACTTTAATATACTATAGGTCTTTGAATCTTTAGGATGTTCATTGTAATTTTTATTTAGTCCTAATTGTCACTGTTCAATTTTATCAAATTCTACTTTGTTAAATCATTATATATTACTTTTATTTTTTTTAATTTTTTTGTGTTCTAGTTTTTAGTGACTATAGTGTTTCGTCTGTTAAGAATATAATCATGTTTTTAGAATAGGTTCTTTGTTAACTATTATTTGTAATTCGGTTTTTCTGTACGTTAAGTTTGATGATAAATACTAATGGATATTCGAAGTTTTTTGGATTTTAATTATATAATAATATGTTCATATTGTCAATCGTGGCTGGTTATCGTGAATTATATTCCCGATGGGAACCTTATATTATATATATATATATATATATATATATATATATATATATATATATATATATATATATATATATATATATATATATATATATATATATATATATATGTCGTACCTAGTAGCCAGAACGCACTTCTCAGCCTACTATGCAAGGCCCGATTTGCCTAATAAGCCAAGTTATCCTGAATTAATATATTTTCTCTAATTTTTTTCTTATGAAATGATAAAGCTACCCATTTCATTATGTATGACGTGAATTTTTTTTATTGGAGTTAAAATTAACGTAGATATATGACCGAACCTAACCAACCCTACCTAACCTAACCTAACCTATCTTAATAGGTTAGGTTAGGTTAGGTAGCCGAAAAAGTTAGGTTAGGTAAGGTTAGGTAGTCGAAAAACAATTAATTCATGAAAACTTGGCTTATTAGGCAAATTGGGCCTTGCATAGTAGGCTGAGAAGTGCGTTCTGGCTACTAGGTACGACATATATATATATATATATATATATATATATATATATATATATATATATATATATATATATATATAAGGTAATTATGAGACAATTGTCTACCATGATTCACATTATCCTGCCAAAGTCAAATTAACTGAAAGCTTATTTATTTTAATGTAAATTATCATGTACTACAATGTGTAACTCATATATGTGGGATGATTTAGTTGGAAATTATTGAGAAGAAAATTGTCGACGTGGCACCATCGCTCTCTCTTACCCCCCCCCCCCCCCCCCCTGCCTGACGTACGATGCCATTATTAAACAGAAATTCGTACTGAAATGAATTTTACAAAGACACTAAAACACGTGAAATTGCATGGAAGCAATTTTGCACAAAGTGCACATTTGAGCCTTTTTATCACTGCTTGGCTCAATTTACATTCCATAATTAACTATCTCTGGGATTCATAAAACTTTTCTTTCAAAAATTGATGACCGAGAAATTATTTGACAGTTGTCATGCATTTCCAGAAATACGAATTATTTTTTGTTTAAGTTGAAGGTAATTTCTGTAATCAGACTAGTTTGAGTCTTATTGAAATTCTTCTGTAGAGTCAATTATTATTTTTATAATTATAAAATAATGTCATTGTATTGAATTGAAACCAACAACGTTATTGTATAATCACTAAACCGAGATATAATAATTATATAATTCAATAGTACCGTGTAGTAATTGGCAAGCAGCCATTTATAATTTAATGTAATTATTATAATTATTACTAATAGAACTATTTAATATTACCTATATAAAGTAGACTATTTATATATTCATAAACAAATCAACACATGACAGAAAATTTCGAACCTCAACCTAATTTTATTGTTCTCAAATTAATTATAAAAAACCTGATATTTGTAACAAAAGCAATACGACAGTTTAAAAATTAATTGAAGTATAAATAAAACACGAGAAGATTTATATATAAAAACTCAACAAGTTGTTTAAAATCGAGAGAAACAACACCGTATTTATATAAAAAAAGTGAGGTGATATTTTTAAAAAGCAGCGATACAATATTTTTAAACAAAAGCGAAGCGAATATTTTGAAAAATGTATTTTCACGAAATTAAACCAAAAATTAACAAATTCAGTAAAAGTAATAAGAATTACTCAATATAACAGAACATAAAGTTGAATTTATAGGAAATAATTTATAACAGTATCAATTTATATCGTATCCTGGCCGGGGAGGATTGACTGGGCGCAACTCCTTAACTGTAGCCTCTGTTTAACCCAGCAGTGAATGGGTACCTGGTTGTAAAACCATTCTTCGTGGGGGTGGGAGGGGGGGGGGTCGTATTCCTGGAGCCAGATTCACGAAGCAGTTACGCAAGCACTTACGAACGTGCACATCTTTCCTCAATCTTTGACGGCTTTGGTTACATTTATTAAACAGTTTACAAGCATGAAAACTTGCCAATCAACTGTTGTTATTGTTATAAACAGCCTCCTGGTGCTTCCGAGCTCATTAACTGTTTAATAATTGTAAACAAAGCCGGCAAAGATTGAGGAAAGATGTACAGGTTCGTAAGTACTTGCGTAGCTGCTTCGTGAATCTGGCCCCAGGTTCGTAAGTGCTTCCGTAATTGTTTCGTGAATCTGGCCCCAGGTTCGTAAGTGCTTGCGTAACTGCTTCGTGAATCTGGCCCCAGGTTCGTAAGTGCTTGCGTAACTGCTTCGTAAATCTGGCCCCAGGTTCGTAAGTGCTTGCGTAACTGCTTCGTAAATCTGGCCCCAGGTTCGTAAGTGCTTGCGTAACTGCTTCGTAAATCTGGCCCCAGGTTCGTAAGTGCTTGCGTAACTGCTTCGTAAATCTGGCCCCAGGTTCGTAAGTGCTTGCGTAACTGCTTCGTAAATCTGGCCCCAGGTTCGTAAGTGCTTGCGTAACTGCTTCGTAAATCTGGCCCCAGGTTCGTAAGTGCTTGCGTAACTGCTTCGTAAATCTGGCCCCAGGTTCGTAAGTGCTTGCGTAACTGCTTCGTAAATCTGGCCCTAGGGACCTGCCCGAAACGCTACGCGTACTAGTGGCTGTACAAGAATGTAACAACTCTTGTATATATCTCAAAAAAATATTTTTTTTAAGTTTACCCATAAGCCTCATCTCGGGGAAGGTAGACTCTTGTAAACTAGTATTCTACTTTTGGTAAGGTATATATACCCCTACTGGTGTATAATGTTATATCTAAGGAATATATGGTAAACTTTATCCACCTTGTCACATGTGGCGTTATCCATGTTGTCACATGTGGCCTTATCCATGTTGTCACATGTGGCCTTATCCACCTTGTCACATGTGGCCTTATCCTCCTTGTCACATGTGGCCTTATCCTCCTTGTCACATGTGGCCTTATCCATGTTGTCACATGTGGCCTTATCCACCTTACATGTGGCATTATCCACCTTGTCACGTGGCATTATCCACCTTGTCACATGTGGCATTATCCACCTTACATGTGGCCTTATCCACCTTGTCACGTGTGGCATTATCCACCTTACATGTGGCATTATCCACCTTGTCACATGCGGTGTTATCCACCTCACATGATACAGGAATTACCAAATGCCAAGTCAAATCTGAATCATTCTATAACTCTATATAATTCTATAATTCTACATAATAATATATTTCTTATAAATAATCTTATGTATGAAAAACATTTAATATATAAATCACCTTTGCTGAATAAAATATATTGAAGATTAATCCGATAATTATATAATCTGATGATAGCAAGAGTATCTCTATAATTGAATTTCCTTTGCTTCTAAAGACGTTTAGAAATGTTTTCAAAATCTATAAATTCTATCAAAGTTTAAAAATAATCATTAAAACTCGTTAATATACGACGTAGTTAAAGCCATAGTTTGCTAGCACGCTCTTGAATGGCTAGTAAAGTAATTGGAGGCTAGAAAGGTCTAAAAGGGTTAGCAAAGTCAAGTCCACTACGGGATCACCATAGCCCGTGCTACTTGCAACTCTTTGTTGTAGGTAGCGAATCTTAAACAACAACAACTTGAACGCTTAAACGCTTAAATGACCCGCAAAGTCGAGGCTTATTAATAAAGTCTTATTATAGCTACAAGTCACGGATGGTTAATCCTCTTATTGTAGGACAAAATTGGTATTGTATTTTAAAGAATATATTTTGCAGTAGGAACACATATTCTTAGGGTAGAATAGAATAGGAAGACATATTCTTAGGGTACTATATTGTAGAAGACGGGGGGGGGGTGTTAGACAGTCTTGTATAGTGGACAGAATAGTGTATGGTGGACAGAATACTGTATAGTGGACAGAATAGTGTATAGTGGACAGAATAGTGTATAGTGGACAGAATACTGTATAGTGGACAGAATACTGTATAGTGGACAGAATAGTGTATAGTGGACAGAATACTGTATCGTGGACAGAATAGTGTATAGTGGACAGAATACTGTATCGTGGACAGAATAGTGTATAGTGGACAGAATAGTGTATAGTTCAGCAAGAATTAAAATGACAAAAAACGTCATTTTAACGTTTGTCAATCTGTCTGTCTGTCCACATGGTTGTTGACAGACAGACACAGACAACCTTAGAGACAGGCAGACAACCAGAGACAGAGAGACAGACAGACAGAAGCGGATATATAACGCTGACGGCGTCTGTAATATAATAAGAACATAATAATGTTATACACCTCTGAATAACCGGTGAAATAATCTAATTACGGGCAATAGCCATCTGGATCCAAGTGTTATTTCGGTTGAAAATCCTGTAGCTTGCTGGCCTTAGTCGCCTCTGTGTTCATGGAGTATAATTAGCCTGTATGACGTTGTGTGTGTGTGTGTGTGTGTGTGTGTGTGTGTGTGTGTGTGTGTGTGTGTGTACTCACCTAGTTGTGCTTCAGGGGGTTGAGCTCTGGCTCTTTGGTCCCGCCTCTCAACTGTCAGCGGTGTGTGTGTGTGTGTGTGTGTGTGTGTGTGTGTGTGTGTGTGTGTGTGTGTGTGTGTGTGTGTGTGTGTGTGTGTTTGTGTACTCACCTAGTTGTGCTTCTGGGGGTTGAGCTCTGGCTCTTTGGTCCCGCCTCTCAACTGTCAGCGGTGTGTGTGTGTGTGTGTGTGTGTGTGTGTGTACTCACCTAGTTGTGCTTCTGGGGGTTGTGCTCTGGCTCTTTGGTCCCGCCTCTCAACTGTCAGCGGTGTGTGTGTGTTTGCTATTTGTTTACTATTTGTGTCTGCAAAATCGAGTTATTAGCTCTTGGACCCCGCCTTTCTAACCAATGTACTTTTCCTCTATTATGTCTACTACATATTTTATGTCTAACACAAGTACACACACACACAGGAAGCAGCCCGTAGCAGCTGTCTAACTCCCAGGTACCTATTTACTGCTAGGTGAACAGGGGCATCAGGTTTAACGAAACTGCCCATCTGAATCTTCGTTTTAATCTTGGATAACAAAAATAATTGTGTAACATTTCCTCAGTTAACAGTACTCATGATAGTACGACACAACCTTCATATTTCGGCTTCGAGACCGGACCCCAACCTCCAGAAGCCCCGAAGAGTAGAGAGGCTCTCACGGAGACATTACTAACCACCGATTTCTGGGGTTCTGGGGGCACCCCGTGGGTCTCAGAGGAAGAACCTCAGTACTGACGTTAAGCTAATGTGTGTCTCCTCTCTCACCCGAGCCCTCTGGTCCCCTTCAGCTAGTGTGGGAATAAGTAAGAAAGTAATATTATCTTGAGTCTTTAGTTACGTCGCTAGTTCCTGGGGGAGACGTCGCTAGTTCCTGGGGGAGACGTCGCTAGTTCCTGGGGGAGACGTCGCTAGTTCCTGGGGGAGACGTCGCTAGTTCCTGGGGGAGACGTCGCTAGTTCCTGGGGGAGACGTCGCTAGTTCCTGGGGGAGACGTCGCTAGTTCCTGGGGCAGACGTCGCTAGTTCCTGGGGCAGACGTCGCTAGTTCCTGGGGCAGACGTCGCTAGTTCCTGGGGGAGACGTCGCTAGTTCCTGGGGGAGACGTCGCTAGTTCCTGGGGGAGACGTCGCTAGTTCCTGGGGCAGACGTCGCTAGTTCCTGGGGGAGACGTCGCTAGTTCCTGGGGGAGACGTCGCTAGTTCCTGGGGGAGACGTCGCTAGTTCCTGGGGCAGACGTCGCTAGTTCCTAGGGCAGACGTCGCTAGTTCCTGGGTGAGACGTCGCTAGTTCCTGGGGGAGACGTCGCTAGTTCCTGGGGGAGACGTCGCTAGTTCCTGGGGCAGACGTCGCTAGTTCCTAGGGCAGACGTCGCTAGTTCCTGGGGGAGACGTCGCTAGTTCCTGGGGGAGACGTCGCTAGTTCCTGGGGGAGACGTCGCTAGTTCCTGGGGGAGACGTCGCTAGTTCCTGGGGGAGACGTCGCTAGTTCCTGGGGCAGACGTCGCTAGTTCCTGGGGGAGACGTCGCCAGTTCCGGGGGAGACGTCGCTAGTTCCTGGGGGAGACGTCGCTAGTTCCTGGGGCAGACGTCGCTAGTTCCTGGGGCAGACGTCGCTAGTTCCTAGGGCAGACGTCGCTAGTTCCTGGGGCAGACGTCGCTAGTTCCTGGGGGAGACGTCGCTAGTTCCTGGGGGAGACGTCGCTAGTTCCTGGGGGAGACGTCGCTAGTTCCTGGGGCAGACGTCGCTAGTTCCTAGGGCAGACGTCGCTAGTTCCTGGGGGAGACGTCGCTAGTTCCTGGGGGAGACGTCGCTAGTTCCTGGGGCAGACGTCGCTAGTTCCTGGGGCAGACGTCGCTAGTTCCTGGGGCAGACGTCGCTAGTTCCTGGGGGAGACGTCGCTAGTTCCTGTGGGAGACGTCGCTAGTTCCTGGGGGAGACGTCGCTAGTTCCTGGGGGAGACGTCGCTAGTTCCTGGGGGAGACGTCGCTAGTTCCTGGGGGAGACGTCGCTAGTTCCTGGGGGAGACGTCGCTAGTTCCTGGGGGAGACGTCGCTAGTTCCTGGGGCAGACGTCGCTAGTTCCTAGGGCAGACGTCGCTAGTTCCTGGGGGAGACGTCGCTAGTTCCTGGGGCAGACGTCGCTAGTTCCTGGGGGAGACGTCGCTAGTTCCTGGGGGAGACGTCGCTAGTTCCTGGGGGAGACGTCGCTAGTTCCTGGGGCAGACGTCGCTAGTTCCTGGGGCAGACGTCGCTAGTTCCTGGGGGAGACGTCGCTAGTTCCTGGGGGAGACGTCGCTAGTTCCTGGGGGAGACGTCGCTAGTTCCTGGGGGAGACGTCGCTAGTTCCTGGGGGAGACGTCGCTAGTTCCTGGGGGAGACGTCGCTAGTTCCTGGGGGAGACGTCGCTAGTTCCTGGGGGAGACGTCGCTAGTTCCTGGGGCAGACGTCGCTAGTTCCTAGGGCAGACGTCGCTAGTTCCTGGGGGAGACGTCGCTAGTTCCTGGGGCAGACGTCGCTAGTTCCTGGGGGAGACGTCGCTAGTTCCTGGGGGAGACGTCGCTAGTTCCTGGGGGAGACGTCGCTAGTTCCTGGGGCAGACGTCGCTAGTTCCTGGGGGAGACGTCGCTAGTTCCTGGGGGAGACGTCGCTAGTTCCTGGGGCAGACGTCGCTAGTTCCTGGGGCAGACGTCGCTAGTTCCTGGGGGAGACGTCGCTAGTTCCTGGGGCAGACGTCGCTAGTTCCTGGGGGACACGTCGCCAGTTCCTGGGGGAGACGTCGCTAGTTCCTGGGGCAGACGTCGCTAGTTCCTGGGGCAGACGTCGCTAGTTCCTGGGGGAGACGTCGCTAGTTCCTGGGGCAGACGTCGCCAGTTCCGGGGGCAGACGTCGCTAGTTCCTGGGGGAGACGTCGCCAGTTCCGGGGGAGACGTCGCTAGTTCCTGGGGCAGACGTCGCTAGTTCCTGGGGGAGACGTCGCTAGTTCCTGGGGGAGACGTCGCTAGTTCCTGGGGCAGACGTCGCTAGTTCCTGGAACACGTCGCTAGTTCCTGGAACACGTCCCTAGTTCCTGGAACACGTCGCTAGTTCCTGGAACACGTCGCTAGTTCCTGGAACACGTCCCTAGTTCCTGGAACACGTCGCTAGTTCCTGGAACACGTCCCTAGTTCCTAGAACACGTCGCTAGTTCCTGGAACACGTCGCTAGTTCCTGGAACACGTCGCTAGTTCCTGGAACACGTCGCTAGTGCCTGGAACACGTCGCTAGTTCCTGGAACACGTCGCTAGTTCCTGGAACACGTCCCTAGTTCCTGGAACACGTCGTTAGTGCCTGGAACACGTCGCTAGTTCCTGGAACACGTCGCTAGTTCCTGGAACACGTCGCTAGTTCCTGGAACACGTCGCTAGTGCCTGGAACACGTCCCTAGTTCCTGGAACACGTCGCTAGTTCCTGGAACACGTCCCTAGTTCCTGGAACACGTCGCTAGTTCCTGGAACACGTCGCCAGTTCCTGG